CCCCCCCCCCCCCCCCCCCAAATAAAAATCCCAAGGCTCCCCTGTAGTTTTTTTTCTACATTGCTCCCCCCCCCCCCCGCAAAAGTCCCTATTTTCTCATTGTTTTACATCAACAACAACAACAACAATAATATTTATTATAAAACTCCAAAATTGGTTTGTTTTTATAAATAATAATATCTGCCGGCAAAATATTTGAAGTAAGTATGTAGATTAAGATCATCAGACTTTATTACACTGATGAGGTGTATTGGGTTCTCTTCACTTGTCTCTTTCTGGCTCTCTTTCTCTTTCTCTCTCTCTCTCTCTCTCTCTCTCATTGGGACTGAAAAAGTATTGAATGTAATAATGTTTGATAAATAGATAAAACAGGATTCCTGTCCTTCTTGTACTTCGTAAATATAATACTTTACCTTGCTTACAAGTTAATTGCAAGCTCATTGTATAGATCAATTAAGAGAATAGCAATAAATAGGACTTTGAGTGAGATCAAAATGGGTTTGACATCAGTTTTTCTTTTTCAAAGATTAAAAAAAAGCAACAGCTGGGTGTCGAACCCGATACCTTCCAGTTACCAGGCGATTGCCTACCCACTAGACTAAAGTGTCACATTGCTAATCTCCATGTTTTTTTTTTCATACTTATACTTATTGTTGTAGATGTAGCAAAAGAAAAAAACGCAACAGCTGGGGGTCGAACCCGATACCTTCCATTACCAGGCGATTGCCTACCCACTAGACTAAAGTGTCACATTGCTAATCTCCATGTTTTTTTTTCATACTTATACTTATTGTTGTAGATGTAGCAAAAGAAAAAAAACGCAACAGCTGGGGGTCGAACCCGATACCTTCCAGTTATCAGACGATTGCCTACCCACTAGACTAAAGTGTTCACATTGCTAATCTTCATGTATTCTTCATACTTACACTAATTGTTGTAGATGTAGCAAAAGATGTTTTCTGACTAATTCAGAGAGTCGCTTGTTAAAGAAAGAGTATTACATGCTATTTTTTTCTTTGTTGAGGGGGGGGGGTGTCCCCTTTAAAAAAGAGATGACAAGTCCAATATTATGGAGTGAAAGAAAAAAAAAATAACATGGGTTTATATAAAGGAGAAACTGAGACTCGAACCGAGTACATTGCATTGTGAAGTGATCCAATTATCCACAAGCCATTTATCCTCAAGCCCATCCCCCTCACCGTGATAACTGGTTCGCTTTTTGTTGTTAACACTTTCTGCATGCTAATGACTTTACAAAATGTGCCGATTTACTGATTTGACGCTTTCGGGATGCATTATTATCATCATTTTTGTAGTCCGATGTTGTCAAGATTGCCCGTATTTTTTTTCTTTCAGTTACTGATATTACTGATATAATAGTGAGGTTTTATGTTTATTTCATTTAATTTGCAAACTGCTGACTTAAACTTAAAAGTGATATGACAAGAGGCCACTGCCCTCACATAGTATAATGAATAGAACACGGGTCTATTCAATTCAGTATATGCTACGAATTCTATAACAGGGCACCAATGAATAGGAAGCTTGGCTATTCGATTCTGTTTTCATAGCTTGCACCTGCAATTTTTGAATAGTTACGTAACAAACTACTCAGCTCTTTCTGACATGGCATCAAATAATATTAGTGAATGAAAACAAACCTGACCCTCCCTTCATTGAGTGACTTTTGTTTGGTCAAATGCGAGGATTACCAAAGAGGAGGTAATAATAGCATTCCTGACATTGCAACAATGACCGCGTTATTTTGATGCATTGTCCCTAAACCTACCGAAGAGGCTCTTTGTCCTTGTCTGGAGGACAAGCACTTTAGACTGGGGCTGTAGTCTGATTTCAAGAAAGGAAAACAATTTCGGGACAGTTGAAATAATGCTTGGAAATGGAAATTCAAATGATACCGTTTTAAAAACCAGAAAGATATGGTTTGAGGACAAGAAGCAGGATGTAATTCATTGCTCGGCAATCTTGGACTGTATTTAAAACAGAGCATCCAATATACCTGATATTTAATAGTACTGTACAATGTCAATTAAATAAATAACTAAATAAACAAACAAATAATGGACCTCTTTAGCCAAGACTGTGGATTTTTATTGTTGAGCACTAAATGATTCTGCTCGGTCATACAGGCTAGGTGGGGGAATGCTTTCAATAGACTTAAATTTTAAAGGCCCTTTGTATCACTTCGTGCAAAATGACAAAGGCACTTCTAATAAATTTATACGAGAAGTAAAACCCTGTTCATCATTTGTTTTCGTGTTGCAAAGTTGTTTACAGACTGAAAAAGGGATAGTACGGGACTGTAGAGAGTGAATAAAACTAGGAAATTATAATTGCAAATGTAAAACAACGTTGTAAACCTAGCAATAAGAGGCTCTTGAATGCAGTTTTTTAAATGGACATGGTCTTTGGGGCTACCCGCTACCGCCGCTAGGCACGCTGTCGATTGCCAGCTAGCTGTCGATTGCAAGATAGCTGGTCCGATTGCCAGCTAGCTGTCGATTGCCAGCTAGCTGTCTAGAGACCCCCCTGGCGATTAATGTGGGGGGGGGTGATTTTTCAAATTTTCGAGGGCCAAACAAAAAATAGTGCTCTCTACCCCCCCCCCCCCCCCCCTCCCCCTTCCCCCTCTACCACTGAGTGAAATATCGGCCGCACGATTTTTTTTTTATTTCAGCACATTAAATTTCAAATTGATTTCAAGTTTGGGCCCCCCTAAGAAATCCTGAATCCGCGCCGATACCCACCCCCCCCCCCCCAAATAAAAATCCCAAGGCTCCCCTGTAGTTTTTTTCTACATTGCTCCCCCCCCCCCCGCAAAAGGTCCCTATTTTCTCATTGTTTTACATCAACAACAACAACAACAATAATATTTATTATAAAACTCCAAAATTGGTTTGTTTTTATAAATAATAATATCTGCCCGGCAAAATATTTGAAGTAAGTATGTAGATTAAGATCATCAGACTTTATTACACTGATGAGGTGTATTGGGTTCTCTTCACTTGTCTCTTTCTGGCTCTCTTTCTCTTTCTCTCTCTCTCTCTCTCTCTCTCTCATTGGGACTGAAAAAGTATTGAATGTAATAATGTTTGATAAATAGATAAAACAGGATTCCTGTCCTTCTTGTACTTCGTAAATATAATACTTTACCTTGCTTACAAGTTAATTGCAAGCTCATTGTATAGATCAATTAAGAGAATAGCAATAAATATGGACTTTGAGTGAGATAAAAATGGGTTTGACATCAGTTTTTCTTTTTCAAAGATTAAAAAAAAAGCAACAGCTGGGTGTCGAACCCGATACCTTCCAGTTACCAGGCGATTGCCTACCCACTAGACTAAAGTGTCACATTGCTAATCTCCATGTTTTTTTTTTCATACTTATACTTATTGTTGTAGATGTAGCAAAAGAAAAAAACGCAACAGCTGGGGGTCGAACCCGATACCTTCCAGTTACCAGGCGATTGCCTACCCACTAGACTAAAGTGTCACATTGCTAATCTCCATGTTTTTTTTTCATACTTATACTTATTGTTGTAGATGTAGCAAAAGAAAAAAACGCAACAGCTGGGGGTCGAACCCGATACCTTCCAGTTATCAGACGATTGCCTACCCACTAGACTAAAGTGTCACATTGCTAATCTTCATGTATTCTTCATACTTACACTAATTGTTGTAGATGTAGCAAAAGATGTTTTCTGACTAATTCAGAGAGTCGCTTGTTAAAGAAAGAGTATTACATGCTATTTTTTCTTTGTTGAGGGGGGGGGGGTGTCCCCTTTAAAAAAGAGATGACAAGTCAATATTATGGAGTGAAGAAAAAAAAATAACATGGGTTTATATAAAGGAGAAACTGAGACTCGAACCGAGTACATTGCATTGTGAAGTGATCACTTTTATCCACAAGACCATTTTGCCTCACCGTGATAACTGGTTCGCTTTTTGTTGTTAACACTTTCTGCATGCTAATGACTTTACAAAATGTGCCGATTTACTGATTTGACGCTTTCGGGATGCATTATTA